TATATATATATATATATATATATATATATATATATATTAAAAATATCATTTATAATTTTTTGAAATTAAGAAGGAGCATTCTTCAGACCAAACGGCATTACATTTCATTCATATTGTCCGAACGGGACATTAAATGCAGTTTTGTATGTGTCTTTATCTTGTATTTGTATTTGCCAATACCTTGATTTAAGGTTAAATTTTGAGTAAATACAAGCATTGATAAGTGTATCTAATAAATCTTTTTTTATTAGGTATAGGATATCGAATCCAGTTTAAGACTTTATTAAGGGGTTTATAATTTATAACTAATCTAGGGACTCCCCTTTTTTTTTCAGCTGCATTTTCTAGATAGAAGGCAGCACAGCTCCAAGGTGAAGAGCTTGGTCGTATTAATTTCTTTTTTAATAGATCATCTATTTCCTCTTTGCAAATTTCTAGTAATCTAGAATTCATTTGTATTGGTCTTACTTTGGTAGGTATTTTGTTTTCTGTAAATCCTTCTTCATAAGGTAATTCTATCATAAGTTTCTTCCTATTCCAAAAAGCACTTGGTATATCACTACAAACTTCTTGTTCTAATTTTATTTTGAATTCTTCAATTTTTCTTTTATTTCTGGAAATAAAAGATCTTGTTCTATTTTTTTATATTTAAGTTCTTCTTTAAGATGATAGAGAAATTTTTCTTTATTTTGAACAGTTTGTTTAACATTATTTATTTCTTTAATTTTAGGCTTATCTATGAATTCAAATTTTATGCTTATCTATGAATTCAAATTTTATCTTATTACCATCTAGGTTTGACTCTATTCCTGTATTATCAATTCTTAAAGGATAAAGTAGGCTTAAGAAAGGTGTACCTAATATGACTGCCTAACTTAATCCTTTAACCATAATAAAGGGTAATTCTAAACAAGTTCCATTATTACAAACAGCAGTATTAGATAATTTATAATTTATAATTAACCTACTACCATCAGTGGTATTTAATATTTATGTTGTTTTATCGAAATATTTAGTAGGGACTAAACCCTCATTTATACAATTTAAATTAGCACCAGAGTCTATTAATGCTAAAGATTGAAAACTATATTCATTTTTAATAACAATCCTTACTAATGTAAACCATTTTTGTGTAATTACCCTATTTATCAGTTTCAGAGAAATGTTTTCTTCCTGGATATTCTCTTTGATTCCAGAAGATTCTTGTAGATCAGGTTTTATTGGTTTTAATTTGTGGGATTCTATTAATTGATTAAATTCTAATTCATTATCATTTTCTGAAATAGTTTCTGCAAATTCGTTATGTAATTCTAATATTCTAATCCTATTTTTAAGTCGTCGAACTTCGGTTTTTACTTCATTTATTTCTTGTTTTTGTTCTGCTATAGTTGGTTCTCTTTGAATTGCTTCTTTTTTGCTTACCCTTTTTAATATTTCAGAAAAGCTTTATGCATCTGGAGTTTTCAGTAAAGGAGTAGGCTTATTTTTTACTCTAATTATTTTAAGATATTGTGTTATTGCCTCTCTTTTTCCATTAGGGTCAGCTATTTTATCTATTAAATCTATTATTAGATTTTCTTCATTGGTTAAAGTATTACAAGAGCATTCTTACATGTTCCCATCTATTTGCTCATTTGAGCTGCTCCATATTAATTGTTCATCTTCGATATTTCCTACTAGTGTACTAGAACTTTCATCTTCTATAGAACTGTCCTCTGAATCATATATTTGTAAAATATCATATAGTTTGTTTCTAATATTTTCATCTAATATTAGACTATCTATTTTTCTTTTCACTTTACAGTTGTTCTTATAATGCCCGATTTTTCCGCATTTATAACAAACAGGTAATTTCTTCTTGCCGTTCTTATATTTATTTTTAGGAACAAATCGTTTTACAAACTTTTCTTTTTTATGTTTTTTAGATTTTGACATATTTTTGTTTTCTATTTTGTATTTGTTCTTTTTATATTTTTTATTAGGAGAAGTATCCATACTATATCCAAATTGCTCAAAAAAGTCTCCCAACTTCTTTTTGCCTGTCATTTTTTGTTTATCTAATTG